ATCCTGGAGTCCTGGGATCGAGTCCCGCATCGGGCTCCCTGCTCAGCAGGGAGTCTGCTTCTCCCTCTGACCCTCTCCCCTCTCATGTGCTCTCTCTCTCTCATTCTCTCTCTCAAATAAATAAATAAAATCTTTAAAAATAAATAAATAAAACAAATAAAATCTTTAAAAAATTAAAACTCTAACTATATGGAAGGCTATAACATAGAACTTGAAAGTGTGTCATTACACCAACCTAATATATGTAGTTTAATATTAATACGTGAGTTTTGTTTGTCTAATTTTCTTTTTCAAAAAGTAGATATGAATTGTGTTTGTGTGTGTGTCTATACATAAAAGGCTATACAACCAAATGTTATTGATGTTTCCCTCAGTGTAATGTGATTAAGAAGGGTTTTTAATTTCTTCTTTGACTTACCTACTTATCCTGGGTTTTGAAAAGTGTATTATTTATAAAATAAGAGTAATTGTTATTTTAAATAACAGAGAATTAAATTATATTTCTCTGCATAGATAATAGTCAGATGCTATACTATGCCTTTAATAAATATAAATTTTCATTTTTATTTGTTTGTTATTTAGTTTTAACCAAGATTGACAACTATACTCTGCTGGATTATTCCCTAATCAGTTCTCCAGAAATCACTGAGAATTATATGGAGCTGAATTTGAAGGTAACTTTATCATCACCAAATTCTCATCCTGGCTATCAACAGTCAGTATTCGAAGAACAAATATTAGATGCAGAAGGAAATCACTTCATACCCTTCAAATAATTTAATGTCCTTTCAAGCAATTCCCTCATGCTTATGCTCTTTCAAAAGACCCTTCAACATTTTCTTGATTGGTAAAGGATGGTTTGGATTTGCCCAACATATGCCTGCCTTCCTCAAGGAAAGTATCATGATAACTGTGTCTCTGGGGATAGGTCTGAGGCCAAGAGGTAGCGTGGCTCTGCATGTATTAGAACTTAACACATCAGTAGATTGTACATATCGATACTCCTGTTCCTGTCAGATTAGCCAATTTAACGGAGGGCTGTTGACCTCGGTCAGGGCCATTTGCACATGAAAATGGTGTTCGCTAATTCTGGAAAAGAGATTAATTGTCTTTATGTTTAGTTTTGCCCAGAAGTTATTATCATTGTTTTTTTATTGACTTATATTTCTTTTTTTAAAAGAAGATTTTATTTATTTATTTATTTGAGAGAGAGAATGTGCATGAGCTGCGGAGTGGGGGTGCAGAGGGTGAGAGAGAGAAGCAGACTTCCCGCTGAGCAGGGAGCCCACTGCAGGGCTCAATCCCAGGACTCTGGAAACATGAACCGAGCCAAAGGCAGACACTTAACCTACTGAGCCACCCAGGTGCCCCTGACTTATATTTCAATCACTTAGAGTCTTTCAAATCAGTTAAATACTACTCAAGACACCATTTTGTAATAACACCCTCTAGCGACTGAGGGCAACACAGATGCTCAGCAGCCACAGAATTTGAAGATCAAGGGTTTGGCATCTCTACATGGCACCTTGGGAACGATAGAGCTGTGTGTCCAGTTAAAATGCACCTGCCTTCTGAGAAGTTACACCCCAGGGTGGACAGACACGTCTACATATGCTCAAGAACTCATCAGAGCTGCAAAACCATAGTCCCTGGTCAAGGAGTCAGAAGGCCCTGTCGTCTTTTAATCCCTCCTGAGTTTCTGGTATTTTCCTGATTCTGACATGAGCAGATCCACCTACGTAGTGCTGAACACCCATGTCCTGACCTGATACACTGATCTTTCTGTTTTCCCACAGGGCGTATTCTACCCACTGGACAAACTCACAGACCCCCCCTTCTTGCCAGTTCCTTTTGCGCTGCCAGAACGCCATGACTCTATGCTCTATGTTGGAATCTCCGAGTTTTTCTTTAAATCTGCATCCTTTGCTTACTTTACATCTGGGGCCTTTAACGTCACTCTCTCCATGAAAGAGGTGAGGAGAGTTCATGGATGGAACAATCAGCACCAGCATTTAGTCTTATTATAAGTAGCCCATTATGGGAATTTTATGTCATAGTTTCTATTTACTGGGCCTTTTTAGACTATCAACCCTAGCAGGACATGAATAAAGGAATTGTGAACTGAATGCTGTTATTAGCTGGGGAGTTGTTGGGTCTCTGGGTCTGCTAATTTCAGTTGTATAGGATACTGGGCCACTGTTCTAGATTGATCTTAAATAATGCCAAGACTTCCCTCCACCACGTATGACCTGTGACTTTGGGTATCTTCAATTTATTTAACTTCTCTGTGCCAGAATGTCATCATTTAGAAAATGAGGATAATAATTCCATACTCATGAGGTCAATATGGACATAAGAGAGGTTTAAATATATGTAAACCATTCAGAGCAATGCCTAGCACAGAGTAAGTGTTCTTTAAGTGTTGCTTATTATCATTATTATTATTATTATGCCTTGTGTTATGCCAACACAAATATTTCTCCTGTTGGTAATTGCAACTGATTTATCTACAATGACCAGTGATAGGACACATACTCATGGATTCTCTTGCCATGCCCCTCCCTTTTATGATGAGAACACTCTCTCCAGCCAGTCAACCAACAACTTTTATTAAGCATCCCCTATTAATCTTTTCATTCAATGGATCTTAATTATACAAGTGGTTATAAAACGTAGGTTCAAAATACTAGGTGTGACAGCACCAGCTACCATAGACTGCCCAGAATTAGAAACGTCTAGCTTCAGATTTGGAAACCATTCATCTGTGAAGATAAATTACTTAAGCATCCCTTGTCTCAGTAATCTCTGAAAAGGTGGGCAATAATTCAAGACTTATTGTTAACCACTGTAGGATGGTTACACATGGATCAAACATGTACGACATACACACTATTGCTAGGGTTAAAAGGCACTTACTAAAAAGGAAGGTATTTCCTGTGTGACCTTGGGCAAGTTACTTTACTTCTCTGGGCCTCAGATTTCTTATGGTTGGGCTATAAAATGATAGGCCACCTTTAAACCCTAATTGTTTGTTGGTGTAACAACTTCATGATTCATAAAAATATAAGGAAAGCTAGGTTTTCCCTGAAAAGAGAACCCAGGTAAAAATCTTACAGTGACATGATGGTCTTGATTTTCCAGATTTCCAGCCATTTGGTTCAAAACTCTCAAGGCCTTGGCAACGTGCTCTCCCGGGTGAGTACTGAGGGTTTGACTCCTTGATAGTGTATCTGGATTCATTGCAATTACTTCTGGAAGATTTGTGGGTTTTTTCTATTCCTTTTTGGTCCAAACCTGAGTCCATCTTTCCATTCTAAAGAGATTTGTTTTCTTTTTTTTTTTTTTTAAGATTTATGTATTTTAGAGAGAGAGAGCAGGGGGTAGGGATAGAGGGAGAGGGAGAGAGAGTCTTAAGCAGACTCCGCGATGAGCACCAGCCTGATGTAGGGCTTGATCTCACCACCCTGAGATCACGACCTAAGCCAAAACCAAGAGTCGGACACCCAACCGTGCCACCCAGGCCCCCAAGATTTTTTTCTTTTAATAAAATAGCCACAAATATTTACTAAACAAGTTACTATTAAAGGCATTGTAAGTTTACAAAATAAATCAACTGTCCCTTCCCTAAGGTTCCACCACACATTTGGAATAATAAGCTTCAATGGGACATGGGGGAATAGTGCCTATGTTTGTGCCTTTAGTGAAGCAACTATTAATGTCATGCCTTCACAGCACCTGAATATTGGACAGTGTCCTGAAAGGCTCAGGTTTGCTCTTGAGGACAGAGAGATGCTCACTGAGCATCCTGGTTTTAGAGCAAGGATCTAGAGTCAGACAGACCTAGATTTGAATCCCAGTTCCTCAATGTATTCACCTGGAAGTGAAGGAAATTATTTAACGAAAGGACTCACTGTCTTCAGCTGTGAAATGGGGATTCTGATAGAACCCACCCACAGGGATCTTGTGAAGATTAAACCAGATAATTCGGATACGTTCAGTGAATGTCAGCTGTTGTTATTATTTGTCTTGTGTGTGGTGATGGTGTTAAAATTGCCAAAGAGCTTTGTTTCTATTCTGACTGCATGATGTAAGGTTTAATCACCCAGGCCACCCCAAATGTGTGATTTCCCCTCATCAACTCACCTCCCTGGTCTCCACTTCTTTCCCTGAACATCGCAGATTGCAGAGATCTACATCTTGTCCCAGCCCTTCATGGTACGGGTCATGGCAACAGAGCCCCCCGTGATCAGCTTGCAGCCGGATAACTTCACCCTGGACATCCCTGCCTCCATGGTGCTCCTCGCCCAGACCGAGAACTCGACCGCTGAAGCCATCGTGTCCATGGACTTTGTAAGGCCTGCGGAGGCAGGAGGGCACCCTGTGGACACCAGTCCTGTTCCCACAGCGGGCCACTGGCTAGCAGTGCTCAGCTCAGTGTCTGGGGGTGTGAGGTCTGATTCACCAATTAGTGGTGAGGACGGGGTGAGACTGGGGTGGGGGCGGTATGGGAGGCCAGTGCTCATACCGCCTACGTGGTAAAATAGCTCTCCCCCTCCTCCCTTTCCTGTGTGCCCTTCCCTCGGCTGCATCTGCATTGATAGCTGACTTTCTTTTTTTTCCCCCAAAATAAGTCAGTCAGAATGGGAATTCAAGGTTATTTGAGCAGATGAAGGCCAAATGCAACCCAATGGAAAGGGATTAATATAGTGAGTCTAAGCGAAATACACACACACACACACATACACACACATATGTACACATACACACACAGAGAGTACATGGAGAAGAGAGATTAGGAAAAAATAGAAAAATAATTTCAGGGAGATCCTTAAAAAGTCTTTATAGTTAGTTTCCCTACCTGCGAGAGAGCATTTTCAGAGCTATTTCTTTCCAGTATCTTTAACAATGAGAAGGAAAGTGGAGCTTATGGTATTTCCAGTATAAGAAATTATATTTGTGGCCAAAACAGACAGATTCACTCCTCTTAGTAACGAATGCTTTTGTTGTCTGCAGGTTGCTAGTACCAGTGTTGGCCTGGTTATTTTGGGACAAAGACTGGTCTGCTCATTATCTCTGAACAGGTAAGTTTAACTGATTTGGCTGTTGAAACCCTTAGCAATAAGTGATTCAGCAGACCATAAGACAAAGGGAACATTAACAGAACAGGGGAAGTTACCACTGGATAGAACATGAATCACTTAGGTACTCCTCCTGTAATGATCCAGATGATTTCAAAGTATGGGCTTCACTAAAAGCTGTATTGTGGAGCCTTTCTTTTGTCCTCCCATTAGATAATGTTCAGATAAAATGGGCAGCCAAATAAGTGTAAACATAATTCTGTAACAAATTCACATTCTAATGGTACCGTAATATAAATTAAAGATCCTCCTCAACAACTTCCAGGAAGCATGCTATTGAGGAAAGAGCATGAAACTTTGAGGTCGAGGAACAAAGTGTCAAATCCCTGGTCACTGGTTGCCAGTCTGGGAACCTCTTTGTGCCTCAGTCTCCTTGTGTGTAAACTACTGAAGTTGGACTGGGACATCTCTGAGGTACCTGCAGGCTCAGACACTCTGACCCCATTACTAGAACATAGAGTTTAACAAAACCATGCCCCTTGGCCTCACTGGCTCTCCAGTGAACGCCGTGCACTGTTAAAGGGATCAGGGAGATCACGTAGGTAGACTTTCGGACAGTGATTGCCATTGAGAAGAACCGTCTGCAAAGCCCGTTTTCCTCGGCCCTGTGAGGCCGAAAGTTGAAGCCATGAATCAAACTACCTGGAGGATGATATTCAGAATGACCAGATGGCCCAGATGAAACCCACAGAAGGGGGAAGAAAGGCTATAAAAAGGCCAGAGAAAGCAGAGTCTGGGAAGGACAGGAAACCAACAGAGGGGAAAAGTAAGTCCATCACCCTAAGTCAGCCGAATGGTTATGAAGACTATTGCAGAAACATGGAAGGTGCTCTCAATAAAATGATATTAAATGGGACAAACAGAATGCAAAACTGCATAAACACAGTAGGCAGCTGCAAAATACCTTTCCATCTGGACGAGGGAGGGACACAGCTGAAGAGCACCGTTAGGATATGGGATTGAGTGTGTTTTTCTCCTTTCAATTTTCTTTGTAACTATATTGTTTTCCCAATAAAAGGAACGACAACAAAAAAGGTAGTATGGTTTCCCAGAGGAGAAAGATTTCAAGAAGGCTTTATTACGTTTTCCCCAGCTCTGCAACACAGGACTGATTTCTCCATTAGTCTCAGCAGGTACAGAGCCTAGAGACCACGGATACTTTAGGGACCCATGAAAGCGTTGTAATATATTTTGAAATAAGAATTAAAAAGTGAATACAATCCAGGCGGGATTGTACTTATCTTTATAACAACACAGTCTTCAAATATAATTTTTAATATTTCTTTATGGAGGAAGGACTCCCAGAGGCAAAAATGGGCCCCTGAAGTCATAATGTGGCCCAACCTCCACAAGGTCAAGGCTGAGGAAGCTCTGAATCTTGATGGGTCATCTTGGAGAGGATAGTTTTGTTTTTTTTGTTGTTGTTGTTGTTTTTTAAGATTTTATTTATTTATTTGAGAGAGAGAGAGAGAGTGAGAGACAGAGAGCACGAGAGGGAAGAGGGTCAGAGGGAGAAGCAGACTCCCTGCTGAGCAGGGAGCCCGATGTGGGACTCGATCCCGGGACTCCAGGATCATGACCTGAGCTGAAGGCAGTCGCCTAACCAACTGAGCCACCAAGGCTCCCCGAAGAGGATAGTTTTGATAATTGAGAGGATGGAAGCCAGAAGGCGGGGCGGGGGGGACAGGGGGGCGGGGGGGGGAATGGAAGCCAGAGGGCAGGAAGAGGGGCTGAGGGTGACAGGTGAGGGATAGGCAGCATCAGAGCGAGGCCAGAAGGGAAAGGAGAGAATTTGCAATGCAGTTTGCCTGAGCAGCCTCTCCGGAAGCACTGGTGAGCCCTCCATCTGCAGCTGATAGGAAAGGGGGGCTGGAAATCTGGAGGGATGGGGGAGAAGGGGGGCAGGGCTGCTGATGGAGGCAGCAAGCTCTTGAGAAGGGAGAAACCCCATGTGCACTTGAGCAGGGCTCTGGTTTACTGGCAGGATGCAAGGAAGGATTTAGTAAGGGTGGGGCTTCAGGCTTGTGGCCGGCTGGTAGGAGAGACCTTAAGGAGCGGAGAGACCAGGTTCACCTCTCTGCTTAAGTCAGGCAGACTCTTCTCTCCAGCGATTCTCCTGGGAAGAAACTGCACGTTCAGAGGGCGTTAGGTTTATTTATGGGAGTAACCGCAAAAACGACTGCAACCTGCTCAATTCACATCACCCAAAGAAATGTGTGGGTCCATTCTCCGGCTGCCTACAGCCCACAAGCATGCTTTGACTCCTGCCTTCCTGGAGGCTCCTTTAGATTCTCATGCTGGGGAGGCTTCCTGAGGCCTTAGTGGGGTCTGAGCAGGACCGGCTACCTAACTCACAAGGCCCACTGCAAAATGAAAATGCGGAGCGCCTTGTTCAAAATCTTATGAAGAATTTCAAGATGGAGACAGCAGGGCATTAAGCCAAGCATGGGCCCTTCTGAGCAAGGCCATGTCCCACTGCACAGGTCACCTGCGTGGAGTCTGGTGTGGCTCCTTCTGGCGGTGCTATGGCGGACCTCGGGCAGTAGGAGGATGGGGGGCCAGGCGGATGGGCCAAGCATCACTCGGTCCCAAGGCGGCCCATGCGAGACTGCAGAAGAGCAGCGCTGTGCCAAAGGAATGGCAGCCCCGCCTCCCACATGACTGCCCCAGCTGGTGCCTCCACTCCTGGTTCCGCAAGTGCTGCTTTTCCAGATGGACAGCCTGCTTTGGTCTTGGGTGAGGTCAGAGAGAGACACAGCGCAGAGAGGTGTAAAGGGAGATGGGGATCAGTGAAGCATCCCTGAGAAAACCTGGGGAAACAAGGTCTCCAAATTAGGCTCCCAGAATACTAACCCCCCGCCCCCAAACACCTTTCTAAACATCCCCTGCCTGAATGTGTCTCTTTCTGGAGCTGCTCATGGCTGGCTACATAGACAGGAGATGTAGAAATCAAGGTGAATCCAGCGTGGTGAGTTTAAAGAGGCAGTGAGATCACAGGCTTTAGAGTCAGGACTAGCTGGTTCAGATCCCCGCCCGGCCATTCATTAGCTGTGGGGTCTCAGGCAAGTTACTTAACCTCTCTGGGCCTCCATTTCCTTCTCTATAAAATGAGGCTATAATACAACCCACTTCAGGGGTAATTGTAAGGAATACATGAGTTAATATACGTAAAGTGCATGATAAGTGTTCAAGAAGGTTGACTATGGCTATTATTTAAAATTTGGGGCTGGCCTTATCCAGGGGAAGAAGGTATTCAATTATACAAGATCATTTCAAGAGTTCCCCTATACAGAAAAACCCTGTTCAGGAAACACCTCATTCCCCTGTGTCCCACTCCATGATGGCTATTAGAGAAATTGCCTTTTGTTCTACTATTTATGACTACTTTATTATTGAGCCTTTGGTGTCTTCTGGTCCCGTGCCAAGAACTTCACATATATTACTTCATTTCAACCGCACAACCCTGTATCTCCAGGACCTGGCACGGTCTTCAGTCAGTGTCTGTAGCTGGAGTGAATAGACCTGGAGGTAGCTTATTATCCCTGTTTTACAGTTTATAGAGAGGTCAAATAACTTGCTCACATCACAGAGCTATTGAATGGCAGAGCCAGAACTTGAACCTGGGTGAGTTTTCACAGCCTTGAGTGTTCACTTAGGACATTATACTGCTTTTGATGTGGAACACAGCCAAGACTTAGAAGATTTAGACAGTAAACACCCTTGCCCAGAAGAGGAAACCCATGAGCGTGGAGTCACATGAAATTAAAACAGGCAGCATGTCCTTTCTTAATGTGAAGATTTGATAGAAGAAGAGAAGCCACGGGCAGAGGGTCACCTGCAGTGGAAAAAGCACACGGCCCTTTCCACACAGCTGCCTTGAGAAATGGAGGGAAGGAAAAAATAAAGCAGAAGCAGGGAGTACGGGTAATCAATGTGACCTCTGTGAGTATGTCTAATTAAGAGCACAACCCCGTAGTCAGGCATATTTGATTTTGGATTCCACCTCTGTCGTTTGCTAGCTGTGTGACCCTGGGCAAGTCAACCAACCTCTCTAAACCTCAGTTTCCTCAGCAGCAAAACAGAGCACCTATCCACAGAGCTGTTGTACGGGTAGACGAGGTAAGGTCTTGTTACTACCAGCAATAGAGTTTTATTCTCGTTCCCTCTTCTGGGCTCAAATTTTAACCAAATAAGAGGGAGAAATTGATCCCAAGAAACATGACAAGTCAGGATGGCCTTAAAAGCCTTGGAGTTGGCCCTCAAAGTCATAAACCAGATTCATACTGGTCCATCTACAATTGCGACTTTGTTCTAAACACAGTTCTATTGGGAGGTAACCCCAGTGCAGGTTGATCCACATAGTAGACATTTCTGAGACCAAATTAAACAACACTTTCCCTTTTTTGGTCACCATACAGATGACTAAATTCTAGCCCTTTTTCTTAATTGCATGCAAAGTTCAAGGCAATCAAATATACAGTATTGTTGGACCATTTAGAACTTTGGAACAACTTTGACATTGCCACGAGTGAGGCATTGGACACTCCCAAACTGCACCCCACACCGGTAACAGCGTGTGCGCGCGCGTGTGCGCACACACACACACACACACACACACACCCTACAACCCCACCTAGGCAACACCGTCAGGGAATGCAAAGAAAGCTGGCTACAAGCAGAATCACCACCCAACTCTACACCTCGCGGCTTGGGCAGATAAGCATTTCCCAATGTGAGCCATCTGGAGAGAAACCCAGAAAGGAAAACAGGCCTGGGAAGATTGGTTTCAGTTTCTGTCAGAACAGTGCTTTAGACAGGCCGTCAGAGCCTGGGCTTAGCACCTGGGCTGACCACCATCTCCGCCCTCCCTCTGAGCTACTGTGGAAGCCAGGGCAGAGGAATGCCATGGTGCGAGGCCCCCATCAGAGGAGGAAACCCCAAATGACTTCTTCCCCTCTTCCCTGACTTGTTGGGGGAATTTCCAGACTGCAGAAGGCAATGAAGATAAAACACTGGGGAACTCTTCCTCATCAAGAGGGTCCTTTAATATTGGAATGGGCTCAACACATTCCTCACATGAAAACCTTTCATCATCGGGGGCACCTGGGTGACACAGTTGATTAGGCGTCTGACGCTCTTGGTTTTGGCTCTGGTCCTGACCTCATGGTTGTGAGATCGAGCCCAACATCAGGCTCCACACTCAGCGTGGCATCTGCTTGGGATTTTCTCTCCCTCTGCCCCTCCTGCTCATTCTCACTCTAAATTTCTCTCTCTTAAAAAAAAAAAAAAGCCTTTTATGGTGGATTAAATGCACAGCCTGGGGTTGTCAAGCTCTTTGACTACCTTCCAAGCAAGCCAATCTTACCTCTCATAGCTCCCTAAAATGAACATTCTGCTTTAGACTGGCTCCCTCTCAAAGTGACCCCAATTCCAATAAACACTTCCCCACCCATCCTTTACTCATTTATCCATAATCCATTCAATGAGAATTTCTTGAGCACCTATTATGTGCTCTATACTGTTCTTGATACAGATAGTAGAGAGAAAGGCAATTGTTTCTACCTTCCAGGTCCAGAGCCTGGTAAGAGAAACACTCAGATTAAAAGGCAAAAACTGGGTGCTAAGGGAAATGGTGGAGTGCTTCTCTCAAAGGGCAGTTTATCCCCTCCCATATCTTACACACACACACACCTACCTCCATCCCACGCTGGTTTCTTCACCTTTTCATACATTCTTAGAATTCCTGCAGCAAGTCAGTGTAAACCCACAAAGGAGTACTGAAGACATGCTACTTTGTATTGTTCTCCAACTCCTTCCTATACTTACAGCTTCTGTCTGTCCATCATAAATATGGTTATAACTAAAGTTCTTCACATTGCTTAGAGCATTACTGGGCATAGAAGGGGCACCTAGGAAAGCTCTCAGCCTGCCCATCTTTTCTCCATACTGCAGCCAGAGTGATCTTTACAAAACAGATATCATCTCCCTTTTTAGAAACCTTCCATAGATTCCTTGCTCTTAAGATAAATATAAAAATTTTGACATAGCCTGAGAAACCCAGCCTGGTCCACCACGGTCTGCCTCTCGAGCATCGTCTTGCTGCTCTCTTCCTGGCCTCTGTTCCCTCCCCAGGGCCTCTGCAGCCTCTGCCAGACCCTTCCCTCTTCCTTCCCCAATTTGCCTTTTTAATCTCACTCACCCTTCATAGGTCAGCTCAAGGACGTATTTCCCTTCCTCGGAAACCTTCCTGCACCTGCCAGTTTAGATCAGGTTCCTCTCTTATTTACCTCCATGAACTTTTCCTTTCCTTCAGCTCACTTATCTCAATCTGTCATTGAACCATCACCAGTGGGCTTATTTGATTAATGTGTGCCTCCCTTCACGAGGCTTTAATCTCCATGTGAGCCATGGCTGTGTTTGGTTTCACTCACAGTTGTGATCTCCAGCACCTGTTGCAGGGCTGACATGTATTAGGTGTTCGATAAGTAACTGCCGGACAGATAACTGAATGAATACTAAGTGCCTAAATGTGCCATGCTCTGGACTCAGTCAAGTTCATAGAGGGCAAAGAGATAAACAATTACTATGCAGTATTGAGTGCAAGGTGTGATTTTCAATGTCTGCTATGGCCACAGGGTTAGAAGAGTGAGTGGCACTGTGAGTGCCTGTGCCTTGGTCCACTTGAACTTCATTATTGCCGTATTTGTTATATTGACCCAGATCATGACCCCACCATCATTTAACATGATTAAGTGTTTGTACTTTTGTTCTGGTTTTCAATCAGGGCAGTAAACCTTCTCCAAAACTTTTTAAATAAGCTAACTCTTATATGTCTGCACAGTAGGGCTACTTGAGCTCCCTTTCTCCCCAACAACCCTGTGGTTCTGTAATAAAATTAGTTCCTAGTAGTTGTGTTTTAAGAAACAGGTTAGGGGCTCCCTTTGAGGGTGAAAGTCAAAAGACTGAACTCGGTCGTCACCTAGTGGTCAGAGTTGTGCTTGCGGGTTTTTCAGAACAAGGACCTTGAGTTTGCTCTTTGCTCCACCTGGATTTGTAAACTGGCGTAGGTTACCCAACTTTAATAAAAGGCAGTGTGGCCAAGGGGAAGAATCCCCCTCCCATTTCTCCAGCAGTACCTTCAAGTATTTGTTCAATTGCTCAGCTTACTTCCTTTAAAGATACCCTAAGGATTCTGGTCCTCACGTTCCGCTGAGCTCAGTTTGAGCCACAGTGCTACCAATGCCATCTCTGACCCTTGTCAGGTTTAACTGTCTTTCTGGTTTTTACTCTTATGTTTGCTTATTAACATGATATTGGCTGATAATAAGCAAACTTACCTCTCCTATTAATATCTACCTGCTCCTTAAATGTAATAACAGAAAGGTGCTTGGAAGAGGTAACACCTGAGTTAAATCTTAAACAGTTAAAAGAAGTTAACCAGTCAACAAGACAGGGGAGGGGCAATTTCAGAAAGAGGGAACAGCATGAGCAAAAAGCATGGAGGCCAGAAGTATCATGGAGTATGCAAGGAAATACTTTACAGTTGTTTTAAGATCTTTATGACCACTCTAATTTTGGAGAATCCAGCCCCAAATATATTGCATATATTCAAATGCATTCCACATTAAATATAATTTAAATTTAACCATGAGTGGAGTTGAGTTAAAGTGACTAGTCACCATAATGTTACTTGTTGTGGGCATGTATTAATTTTAATTTTTCAGGAGTTTTTTGTTATGTGTTTTAAAGCCAATACATTTTTTTAACCTCAGATATATAGCGCCTGCTTAATAAAACAGCATAGTGGTGCCCAGGTGGCTCAGTCGGTTAAGTGTCCAACTCTTGATCTCAGCTCAGGTCTCGATCTCAGGGTCGTGAGTTCAAGTCCCACATTGGGCTATGGGCTGGGTGTGGAGCCTACTTAGGAAAATAAAATAATAAACAAATAAATAAAACAGCATAGCACTAAGCAGTTCACGGTTCTTGAGTATAAATTCAAGGTAGAGAATGAAAAGAAGTGAGAGTAAACAGGCAACTGGACACCAGAATACAGAAAGGCTTGTGCACCATGTAAGTGACTTGGACTCAGGCCGTTAAAGAATTTTGAAGAGGAGTGTGTTCTCATCAGACATGCTTGTCATATAGCTCACTCTGGGAATGGTGTGGAAGACGGATTGGAGAAGACCAAGACTGGAGACCAAGACTGGAGACAGGGAGAGCCATTAGAAGGCTGGTGCAGAAGTAAGGTTCTACACCTGGGCAAAAGTGAGCCATGGAAGGCTAAGGGGGAAAGCAAGGTGAGGCAAGATCCTACAGTGGAAGGGAGGTTTGGGATGGACATCAAGAGATCTGAGTTTTGGTCCTAAATCTGCCATTAATTGGACCTCAGTTTCCCCATCTGTGAAAAGAAGGGATCCTCCCTGTTGATTACTACTGCTTCATCTTAACTATCACTATGTATGAAAAATCAAGTGTGTATTCTGGGAGTTCAGACCAAGAAGACCTGCAGACTATTTCTCCCATCCAAGTACTAAGCAAGCCCCATCCTGCTTAGCTCCAGAGATCAGATGAGACCGGGCACATTCAGGGTGGTATGGCTGGAGACCGAAACTGTTTCTAAAGATTCTTCTGCATTCGAGTTCCCAACAGTAAGTCCCATATAGCAAATGCACTTGGGGAACCCATCCTGGTTACAAATCCAAGGCTTCTGCTAGGAAGCTCTGGTTCTTAAGCCGCAAATATCAGGGGAAAGATGTACTAGAACATTATATCCTTACCAGTCTGTGTGGTTTTTTAAAATAGTGGCTTATGGATCTTTAAAAAAAAATCCCCTTTCCTTTTTGTTCCTTTCTGTTGAAATGGTTGTTTTTAAATCTTCCATCCTTTAAACTTTTCCTGTTGATGTTTGTTGTTTTGTTTTGTTTCAGATTCCGCCTCTCTTTGCCAGAGTCCAATCGCAGCAATATTGAGGTAGGAATCCAAGCTCTCAGAGTTCCCTATCAAGGGAAAAATGATAATTTTCCTATAGAGGAGCTGGATGACTGTTTTCTAAGCCTCTAAATACTTGGTTTCCCCATGAGTGTAGGTTTTAACTTTAAAATTCCTTGTGTAGCTGCCTGTCCACCAACCCCATAACTTTTAAACAGGACAGGAACTCTCCAATTCACTTTTATCTATTCAGAAAGACTTTTAAAAGAATTTTTTTTAAAACTTAAGATCTATGTAATATTGGCATTTTCAGGGAGATTTTCAGGGAGATTTCATTTTTTGGATAAAATAATCTTTGAGAATTAAATATAAGGCCCAGACTCCCAAACGATGAGGCTATCTGCAAATTATTAGGCCATGACTAAGTTTGCCCTTGAAAGCCTTTCTGGCCATCTCCTAAAGTCGCATCAAGGCTGGTTGTGCAGATACATTTTGGGGGGCCCCAGCCGGGTGACCTCCTGATGGGAAGAGTCTATCCCAACTTGGATATACTTGGAAACAAACCCCTCCCCCCAAACTGCAGAAAGATCAGCCAAATCACTACTTGGTGTCCCTACCCTGTGGCACTTATACTCCAGAACAGTGGTTCTCACCAGTTTTGGCCCCCAGGGACATTTGGCAATGTCTGAAGATATTTTTGGTTGTCACAATCCGGGGGGGGGGTGCTATATAGGCACTTAGTGGGTAGAGACCAAGGATGCTGCTGACCGTCCCACAGTGCACAGGACAACCCCCACAGCAAAGAAGGATCCATCCCAAAATGTCAGTAGTGCCACTGTTGGGCACGCCTATTCTAGAGTGTGTGTGTGTGTGTGTGTGTGTGTCTGAGTGTGCATGTGTGTATGGATGTATGTGGCAGACAACAAGCAAATATATATTGTATGCTGAAAAATATTATAGAGAAAGATAAATCAGAGCAAGAGAATGGGCAGTGCAGGTAGGGATGGAGCTGGCCGTTCCAGCCTTGGGGTTGTTGAGACAATTAGCTGGGATCATATATGAAATTCATTTAGCATATTGGATACATGGTAGGTATTAAATAAACGATGGCCATTGTTTTCATAAAAATTAATTTCAGTTATTGCCACCTCTATGTCAAGGGGCAGATAGCATAATGGTTACATACACAAACTCTAAGGCCAAGCTGCAGGAGTAAACTCCCACTTACTGACTGGATGGCCTCGGTCAGGGCATTTGACCTCTCACAGAGCAGTCCTGAGACATGGTACTGAACTGATTACCGTGTTCAACAGAAGCAGCTATTAAGGGAGGAACAGATCTGAGGAAAATAGCAAAGACGCCCAGGAATTTATCCAGGACACCAAACAAGATGTTTGTTTCTTTGTTTAATTTTATAGGAACATCCTGATTTTCAGGTTGGGAAGATTGGAAGCCAGTGGCATTAGTCTCAACAAGCTGGAAAATAAGTTACATCTTTCATGCCAGATATTGAAATTTAAAATATCCGTAGTGTCTCATGCACTGTGGGTTAGCACCTCCATGGCATAGCCATTTGGTAGATGACAGAGTATAATCAATGAGAATGCACAGCTGACTTTCTCATAAATAATATTTCCTGAACCTAGAGGAGGCGAAACGAGTCCAAGTCTTCCAGGAAGACTCAAAGAAACTGCTTAGTATCAACAACAGAGTGTGCTAATAATGACATTTCTGGGGGAGAGAAAATGACAGTGGTATATACTGGGCATCTTACATAATATTAACATGTTTAATCCTGAGACCAACTCTATGACATTAGTGCTGTTATCTTCATTTTACAGTAGAGGAAATGGAGGCACAGAGATTAAAGAGCTTTCCCAACATCACAGAAGTGGTAAAAACAAGAGCTAAACCTAGGAAGTCGGCTTCAGAGCCCTCCTTACTAAGCAGCAAATCTTGCTAAGCATGTAGGATATTCAAAATATATTACTTGAGTGAACTGATGTTCATCATAGTCCATTTATTTTTTTAAATATTTATTTATTAGAGAGAGAGAGAGTGCGCGTAGTGGGGAGGAGCAGAGGGAGAGAGAGACTCTCCAGCAGAGTCTGCACTGAGCGAGAAGCCTGGCCCCACTGATCCCATGACCCTGAGATCATGACCCCAAGATTGTGACCAAGCCAAAACCAAGAGTCGGGTGCTCAACTGACTGAGCCACCCAGGCACCCCATAGTCCATTTGTTTTTTTTGTTTGTTTTTTAGTCCATTTGTTTTGTTTTTTTAATTTTTATTGTTATGTTAATCACCATACATTACATCATTAGTTTTTGATGTAGTGTTCATGACTCATTGTTTGTGCATAACACCCAGTGCTCCATGCAGAATGTGCCCTCTTTAATACCCATCACTAGGCTAACCCATCCCCCCACCCCCCTCCCCAGTCCATTTGTTTTTAATACCAAATCTTCCCAGGAACTAACACTTTGCTAAGATTTAACAACTACTGTAATTTATTCTGGGTAAATCGGATGTTCTGGTGATACTGTCAACTATAGAGCATCACATAATGCGAAGGACCTCCATTAAGGAAAGACTACTAATTGGGATACTTAGTAATTGTTTAGATTGTCTTACTTGGTAGATACCTAAGCTGCCATGTTTGCTGCCACCATGTGGTCCCTCTGCATTTGTTGTCACCATGATCCAGCCTCCAGGGAGCAGAAACGTCCCTCCTCAAGGAGGAAAAAAGATTGGGAAACCGTATAATAGGGTTTCCCGCAAAATAGCTTTCGGTGTCTGGAAAGCTAGATTATCTCCGTGGGGAGATTCTAATTATCACCCTCTGTCGTGATAAGGTCTGGGAAAGTGCATGTTCAGACCAGGCATGGTACTTTCAAAATGCCCTGACTTGGCAACTGATTTAGTATCCCCTTTCATTTTAGGTCTTGAGATTTGAGAATATTCTCTCCTCTATTCTCCACTTTGGAATCCTCCCACTGGCCAACGGTAAGGGATTCTTGGGAAACATGTGACTCTGACATATGCTAAACGTTGGGGATTGTTTGGGTACTTTCCACCCCAAAGCCTGTACTTCTAGCATGTGATTATATGAATCCAAGCCCATGCCAGAATTTACAGAGTTTGTACCATCAACGATGTGGTTGCAAAATTAGTTATTCCAGGTCCAAGCCTTGTTAGCAACACTACCTACAGACTCAGCAAGAACAGCTAAACTCTGGTTAAGTTAAGGAGATTGAAACCACTCTCCTTAAGCAGTAACAAGTCTCCTTCAGGTCTGCCAGAAAAGAGATTCATCTCCCCAGAAGGCATCTCTGTGGTTCTTATGCACAGACCACCATCTGGATAGACAGTTTTAATGAAGGACAATTCTAGGCCCTCTCCCTGTATGCAGTCGTTCATAAACTACTGCATCTTGAGTTTGGCTTGGTTAAAATACATTTTGTATCAGAGACCAAAATGTTCTCAGACCCGCTAATTAAGGTATTTTCAAAATATAAACTGGACAAGTTGCCAACATTTTTCTGCCATCCAAGTGTACATAATTGCTTGTGCATTTTTACTAAGTACTTCATTAGCTAATTAAGCATTCATCGAGGAAAATGCAAGGAACATAGAAAGAAAATACAGAATCAGGAAGAAGGAAAAGACATATTTAAAAACTGCTTATTCGTCTTTTACTAAAAAGTTTTCCAAAACTTCTGTGTCTGCGCCTACTACACCTCGTTTCGTTCTTTTTAGCAAAATTGCAGCAAGGAATTCCTCTGCCCAACCCACACAAAATCTCATTTGTCAATTCAGATATTGAAGTTTTTGAGGTAAGAATGTGAATATTCTCTTCACTGCCCCCATTTCTTTTCGTAGTAGAATAAGCCTCTTCCTATTTTGTTTACTCTGTTTTATGCTTTGTTCTGCTTTGTGTTTTTCCAGCCCAAGGAATTTTATAGACAAAAAGCTTAGCTCTTAAAGCTTCCAGTCAACAATGAAAAGCATTGAAACTTGAGTTTGAAAATCAAACCAAGTCTGATTTCCCTTCACAGCCAGACTTGCTCACACCACAGTGCGGGAAGGCGCACCGTGGTGTGCTTTATCTCCTTCATTCCACAAAACCACCTTCGAGGCCCGGATTAGCGGTCCCATTTAAAATGAGGAAAGCGAGGACTGGCTGAGACCTGACCGGCTCTTCTGAACTTTTGCCCAAACCAAAGACCCTCCTCAAGGTTCAGGGATCTGTTGTGAGCTGTTTCCTCATTAATCATTATCAACAAACTCCAGAACACCTTTTTTCTTCCATTTTGGTGCTTTTTTTGAGGGAGGGGGAGTAAGATTCTGAGGGAATTCTCCAATCCCATACACTATCCTGTCCTCCTGTTTCCCTCCCTACCTCCCCTTCTATAGCTGCTCAAGTCACATAAGGAGACAGTAATCCCGAGTGGCCTGTTCCTATGCCTGAGGCACTCACAAGGGGACCGTGGCGGGGGAGGGTGTGACACAGGAGGACCTGGGAAAGAAACCATCTCTCCCTCACCCCTTAGCAAACCCCATAGGCCTATGGCGGCCGGTGTCCAGAGTGTGACATTATCTTCACCCTTGCCTCCTTTTCAGGGATTCCTTTTGATTTCCACCGACCTGAAGTATGAAACATCCTTAAAGCAGCAGCTAAGTTTCCATGGTTGGGAAGGTCTGAACCTCGTAAGTGGACAGTGGAGGGGGAAGCCAGTCGCCTGATTGCCTGTTTGGAGTCCACTCCAGGAAGTCAATGGCCTTAATCCACAGCTACTGTAAACCCAGAAGGGGAAGACAATGCACACTGGATTGTAAAGCCCTTGTGAAGTGCTTAGACTGACAGTTTTCTTTCTCAAGCCCTCAGGGTCGGAGGGAGGCAAACTGAGTTAAAGAGCTAAATCGGGGTGTGTGTCTGCGTGTGTAGAGGGGTAGGCATTTCAATGTGTGTTCGTGTTCGAATGCACATTGTGTGTTCCTGTGTTTATAAGGTGCCGGGGCCGAGAGCTAGCCATGTGCCTCTGAGGAGGTGCATGAGAAACTCCGAAGTACAGATTTGCATGAGTTCTTGCTGGAGGAGCTCCCTTTAGCTCTCTCTGCAGCCCAGGGTTTTCCCCACTTCCCCACATATTGGATTTTATGTTTTATATTTACTGCTACTGTCCCCTGTATTTAATTAAACTTGTTTTCTATTAACGATAATCTTGTCTTTTTATTTGAGAAATTCTCTGCCCTGGATTTTTTTTTAATAAAATAAGACAAAGATGAGAGAATTTAGCCTCTTTAAGTTGACAAAAAGTGAAGGTGTGCAGACTTCAAGGCTTGATTTAAAAAGGGAATACCTTGGGGCACCTGGGTGGCTCAGTCGTTAAGCATCTGCCTTCCGCTCGGGTCCATGATCCCAGGATCCTGGGATTAAGCCCCTGCGTTGGGCTCCCTGCTCGGCGGGAAGCCTGCTTCTCCCTCTCCCACTCCCCCTGCCTGTGTTCCCTCTCTTGCTGTGTCTCTCTCTGTCAAATAAATAAAATCTTTAAAAGAAAAAAGGGGGAGGATACCTTGCCTCTTATCTGTTTCTGGTGAGAAACTCTGGAAATTATATCACTTCTTTAAGTTCTAGGGTTTTCCCTCCCAGATGAAATGAAATGGCAGTGTAGACTGCTAAGCCTAGATCATTTGTCGTTGGTGATATTAAGTTGTTAGAGCATCTAACTATTGGGGTGAAACTGGGGCAGAAGAGGAGGAAAGGAGACCTGTATAGATAACGTATGAATGACTAGAAACCACAAACTCTGCCTTTGTGGCGCTCACAATCTAGTGGGCAAGTGGATGCCAAGCCCGGTGCTGGTTACTCCACGACTGTCACTCACCTAATGCTCACAGACACTCTGAAGAATTGTGATCCCATTTTACAGATGAGGAAACAAAGGTGAAGAGAGACGAATCATACAAGGCTGGTAAAGCAGCCTCTGCACACCAGGCAGAGGTAGAAATTGAATCCAAGTCTTCCCGATTCCAAAGTCACCGCTATTTACATGAGGTGGGACTAGAAGCCGAAATCACGAGAAAATCGCTTACTACTGTGACCAAGAGACAGGCGTATAAAAGAGCGTGACGGCACGGTTCTTAGCCGACCAAGAAGGGAAGTCTGGGAAGCCCCGCTGTCCGCAAGGACTGTGATCTACTCATCTTTATGGCGCACATCTGGCCATAATAACCACCCCTATCAGCGTTTGTTGGAATGAATGATAAGCTGTCACATTCATTCTTTGGAATGTTCTTTTCTACAGAAAAGTTATTTAATGTGCATCCACAAATTCATTCTGAAACATTACAAATGTCCAGTTATATTTATTTAAACATGTTTCTCGGCTATCCACAGCTTTTTTCCCTCACTGCTGGGAATGTAAACTCCACGCAGATTTTTCATTACAGCAGTTGGACCTAATCCAGACTCAGTGCGTTTTTCAAGGGCTGAAACATCTCACTAGAAACGACTGTATTTAGTTTCGCTTTAAGTCTGGAAGAGGACTAGTAAATATCCGAAAGATAAACACTAGAGGGCAGTCTAACTTACCGAGATAAAAGCGATTTTGGTGGCAGGAGTTTCGAGCCTCGATGCTTGCCGTCGCCCATCCTGCGGCGGAGCTTACTGCGCCTGCGCAGTAAGGCGGTGCTTCAGGCAACGGGACAGCGCGGCAGCGTCTCTTCAAAGCGGAGCGGGGAGTTTTTGCTACCGTTGTCGCCGCCATGAGTCGTAGTTATAATGATGAGCTGCAGTTCTTGGAAAAGATCAATAAAAACTGCTGGAGAATCAAGAAGGGCTTCGTGCCCAACATGCAGGTGAGGCGGGGAAGTGGGAGCCGGTGGCGGGGCCTTCCCGGGGGCCCGCGGCGCCTCCCTGCCCACCGGGCCCGGCCTTCCCCCTCGCCCTCCCGACCCCTGGCTGGGCGCGGGGACCGTCCCCGCCGCCATCCTCCGGCCGGCCCCACCTCCCGGCGCAAAAGGTCCGCGAAGCGGAACGTTCCTGGGGAATCCAAGTGAACGCTAAATTCGCGCTTCCAAAACGCTTTCGCGTAAAAGTCTCAAAAACGCACCGTAAGACGTTCCGTTCCCGAGCTTTAGAGACGTCCAAGGTGGGGTTGCTGGGACGGGAACCCCGTTCCTGAGTCATGCTGGCCATCTGGGTGACGTTTACGGACCTTTGTTTGCTGAAGCAAGTTATTAGCATTCACTGTTGAATAAAACGTACTTGCGTCTCGCGGCGGTCTAGAAAGTTCACAGCGCAGGGTGGCTTGTTTTTAATACTTCGCTAAGGATGGGTTGGTGACAGCTTCCTCTGGCCACCTAGTCAGAAGCTCAGCCAGGACTTGATACCCATTTTACTTCTCTTTCCTCTGACAGAATGGTGTATTCCCGATGGAGACTTGAAACCCAGTACCAGGGAGTGTGAAAGCCTGGGCTCGCTATCTCTCGGGCTTCATTGCCATTTGTGCTTATTATCTTCCATTAAAGTGAAGAAAACAGTCATTTGTAAGGCTTTGGGGACATATGTTAAGTAGCTTTTGAACTCCCGTAAGGTGCCCTGTGTGTTGGAGGTTTGTGAGTCTGTGTCTTGGTAAGAGTTCCTGACAGCCACTCCACTCTTTTTACTCAGTATCAAAACTTACTGAGTGTCCCCCATGAGCAAAGCTAGACACTGAGAGGAGGAAAGGGCCATGGTCATAAGATTCCATTTTGCTGTTTTCCGTTTAGCCAGTTTCTGTTTATGGAATCTGGTTCCCTGAATGAAGGAGTAGGCAATAACCACGACATGATGGTCGTGATAACACACTGTCAGTGTCTGGGAGTGATTCTAGCAGCACTTTTGATACACACACTGCTGCTAATCCTGCCTAAGAGCAAGTCTCATCTTGGGACAGGCAGTTATCGTTTAACTGTTTGTACGGCACTTTACTATCATTGTTCCCCTAAGAGTAGAGAGTTGAAATCTCAATATACGCCCTTAAAAAGTTGCTGACCTTTATGCTAAGCTTGAACTGTATTCCCATTCTTGAGAGAGGAGTGAATTTCACAGTAATTACCGAATCTATCCTCCTTAATCTCTGTTCCTCTCTTAAGACCCACATGCTGCCCTAAAAATTCCTCTTCCCTAAAAGACTCCCCTCCCAATTTTATGTCATTTTTGTGTCTCCTTTATATCTCCTGAATGTCTTGCAGCTCCAGTGATGTCTCTTGTCTTTGAAGAGCTAGTTAAAACGGTGAACACCTCTCAAGCCTCCGGCTCCCGAGGCTACTGAGCCACTTCATCAGTTTCTTCCATAGCACTCCCCTATCATAGAGCTTGCCTCATTGCCCTCTTAATTTTCTAGTCTGGGCTGCATCCTGGGCTGGAAATTCCTCAAAAACAGGATCTTAGGGACACCTGGGTGGCTCAGTTAAGCGTCTGCCTTCAGCTCAGGTCATGATCTCAGGGTCCTGGGGTCAAGTCCCACATCGGGCTCCTTGCTCAGTGGGGAACCTGCTTGTCCCTCTGCCTGCCTCTCTCTCTCTCTGACAAATGGATGAAATCTTTAAAAAAAAAAACAAAACAGGATCTTATATATTCTTTGTATCTCCCCTAGTGCCCAGTACAGTGCCTAAAGCGTAGTAAGTCCTCAGTAAATGTTTGGTGAATTAATAAATTAGAAAATTGTACTGGAGACATTTTCCATTTTCAACTGGTGTTATTCAAGCAGAAGTCCTCTTATAAAAGAAAGAAATTTGTCCAGGTGATTAGTGTTAAGTCTTTGCTTCAGTGGGCAGCTTCTTCATTATCTTTGATATCTGATAAAAACGTTCTGGCTTTTGGTGTTACATAATTACGTCCTCCATTGCCTTTTGTATTTTTTTGTCAAGCTCCTTTATCCTCTTAAATTGTGTAGATTCTAGAACTAAGCACACAGCTGTGTAGCTACATGTTAAATTTTTTTTACTCTTTACCTAAGTATTGATTTATAAATCAGCATAGGACAAAATAAAGTGTAATGTGCTATTGTCTTAGGCACAGAAAAAATACACTGAGGTCAGATGACTGCACTTTTATGTTTAGAATTTTACTTTTTTGATTCATCAATTTATCAAGACCCACTGATTTTTAGAAGCACAAGAGTAGTAGGACTTTTGGCCTTGGTGAGAGCATAGTTGGAAGACTTTTCTTTTTTTCTTTCTTTTTTTGTTTTTTTAAAGGTTTTATTTGAGAGAGAGAGAGAGAGCATGAGTGTGGTGAGGGGCTCCATCCTTGGGACTCCAGGATCATGACCTGAGCTGAAGGCAGATGCCTAACCAACTGAGCCACCCAGGTGCCCCAAGACTTATTTATCACACATGCAAAAAATTCCTGTTGAATTCTTAACTGTTTCTTTAGGAGTAGGAGAATAAACAATTTGTGAACATTGCAAAATACATTTTTAATACATATTTAAAGATAGGAACATCTGGTAGTATTTATTAGGAAGTTTTCTGCTTGCTTAAGGTAATGAGGAAGTGTTTCATAAAGAGTAAAGTAAAATAAATATTACATATAGTATGTGTATTCTATCTGGTGCCTATATATCATATGCATGTGCTCTTAGTTTTCCTTTTTGTTGGTACCAGGTTGAAGGAGTTTTCTACGTGAATGATGCTCTGGAAAAATTAATGTTTGAGGAATTAAGGAATGCCTGTCGGGGTGGTGGTAAGTACATTAGAGTTTTACATGTAGCCGTATAAATACTATCTTCCCTGTGGCATGATAATGCTAACTCAATTATAATTTAAAAATTCAAAACTATTGTCAGGTAATAATCAAGACTTAAATGAGACCAAAAACCTGTTACTTATTTGTGATCACATTGTTAGCCACCTGGCTTTGTAGAAACTGTTTGGAGCTGGGTAGACCTGGTTGGTTTTGAAGCTAACCTTGAACAGTAATAACGAGCTACCATTTATTGTGCACTTACTATGTGCCAGGCACTTTGCTTGGTACTTTATATAGATCATCTCATGTAATTCTTAGAGTAATTTTAAGAGGAAAACGTTATCTCCATTTTACAGACGTGTAAGGCAAGGCTCATTATTTTTTATTAACATATAATGTATTATTTATTTCAGAGGTACAGGTCTGTGATTCATCAGTCTTACACAATTCACAGTGCTCACCATAGCACATA